CGTTCTATCATTTTGCTCAGCATACGCTGTTACAACCTTTTATTTGCCTATACTCGCCATAAACTGTTACTCAGGTTGATCCCGCCCCTGCCCCGCCTCCTGTTTGTGTTGTCTTGCTTCTAAACCGAAATTTTGGCGCTTGGTAAGAACCGGTTGTTTGTCGCTCCGCTGTGGTGTGAATGTGTTTTATGCTTTATCAGGCTCTAGGCTCTTGAACGCAGCCCTGGAAAATTGTTATGCCACCCTTATAGATTTGGAGACCGATTTGTTTTTGTAAGAACGGTTTCCGCTGTCACTGCCCGTCCCTGAGACCCCTGTTTTAGTTTGTAATGTGTTTGTTTCTCGTGTGGTTACTCCCCCCTGCACTGCTGGTCTGCTCTGTTTCCCACTTGCTGCCATAACGCAACCTTCCACTCCCAGCGTCCCCTTTCTAAAAACAAAATGTTACGCTCCACCAGCTGATTCCTAGTCTTGTTTCTGGGTCCCCTCCAATACATGAGGACACCGACAGTGACTTGTGCTAGCGCTGAGAATCAGAACGATAAAGCACGTTATCCTACTCTAAAAGAATACATTCTGGCAACATAAACGAATCTAACTTGCAGCTGAAAGTGTTTTAAGAATAGTTTAGGGCATGAATGTGTTCTAACAATTTTATCAAAAAACTTTATAAAAGGTTATTCCAAGCATTTAAGATGTTTTTAGAGAAGTAATCTACCTTTCAGAAGAACTTCTGGGAACAACAAAGACACTGCAGCTGAAAACATTTTAAGAATAGTAGGGGCATAATGTTCGAACAAGTTATCAAAACATTTGAAGAATGTCATCACAAAACATTTTTTAGAATGTTTTTAGGAGAACGTTCTCCTACCTTTTCAGAAGAACATTCTGGAACCAAAATAAAGACTTCCAGCTGAAAATGTTTTTATAGTAATAGTTGTGTGTAGTGGATCATGTCTAACACATGTATCAAAACATCGTTTAAGAAGCTTATGAAAAACAGGTCTTAAAAGGTTATCAGGACAAACATTTTAAGGATTGTTTTTTAGAGAACGTGTATCACCTTTCAGAAAACATTTCTGGGAACCAAAATAAAACTCCTGCGAAAACATTCCTAAATAATGAATGGTAACAGTTCTCTGTAATGATTTAGACCAACAATCTCTAACTGTGGTATGCAATAGATTCACTAAACAAAACTAAATCACGAACCACAATGCAAATAAACTCAGGTAGCAATCAAAATTTATATCATAATTAACATATTTATGAGGGGGACAGGGGATCAAAAAATGATGTGAGCCTTCCAATCGTATGTATGAGCCCTTTAGATCTTCATAAATAAAAATGGATTTGTAGCTGCAAACGTTTTTTCTTAAATAAGGAAGTCCTCCTTTTTCTTTTTCTGTGGAAGCCTTGCCACAGCTGCCCATCCTGTTGGTGTCGGCTGTTGTTTCGTTTTCTGGCTCGCTTTAACTGTGTGCGAAGGAGAAAAACAACAAGAGTGAGTTCACAGTATCAACACGTTGCGGTTACCTGTGGAGACGGTTCCACATTGTAGTCCAAGGGTGAACAATAGGGGGAATCAACACAGACTGCAACTCACCACAGTAACATCCACTTTGGGGCTTCCTCCACTGACCGTCTTGCGCTTACATCGTGACCACCGGAGCGGTGGCGCTGTTAAAAACCCTGGGGTTGCACTGATAGCGGATGATGAGCTTGACAGGTATCTTCCCTCTTTTACCAAACATATGGGAATTCTCCACCTCAGCGGGGCGCCACAGGATACTCGAGGGAAAGATGTGAGAGGAACGGTGCCACCCTGTGCGATGTATTCTTGTATTTTCAGTATAATAGTTTTTTCAGATAGTAGGGCAATACTGTGTAATCAGGGACCAATCAATCAATACGACAATCTAGTAATTGTAGGCAGAACCTTGGGCATAAAGCAACCACAGTGAGCTCCCGCCTTAAAAATCTGTTAAACCACCGATTCCCTCGGGGGCAAAACAACCGACAATATTTCACAAACTGTGTCTTAGGGCCTTCTTAACTTTTAACGAAGCTATTAAATGTGTCATACCCACTTAACGGGCAAGAAACTCCAGCTAACTGACGACATGAAGCAATTATTACCAACAAAACACGAACTCTAAGCGCCCCTCTTTATTGCCTAGCGAAAGCATCTGCACAAGCAAGATATCATATGAAAGCTGAGAATGTCCACAGATTCCCAATGGTATAAGTTCATCACTGTATCATCACTGTGCGACCTTCGCGGCAGCGAGCAAGATAAGAAAACACACAACTTCACTTTACGGAGCCAAAACGGCAAATACGTTTTACATTTGCTGTTTTCTGATCAAAAGTTGTGTTCAATGGCATTAAAACGCATATAAACGCTGCTGAAGGTTAATCCAATGTCTCTGGGTCACTTTGAAATGATTACTGATAATCCATCATAACATTTTGTCAATAAGAGTAGTTTTCATATAGAGTGTATGAGAGCTGTAACCCAGCTTCCGGTTTACCGATGGGTTCCAGAGTTATGGCAAATACACCCAAGTGACCCCAGAAGTGTTTTGTTTTTTTCTAAACCTTTCTTATAAGGTCAAATTTCACTTGTTTTGCATCAATCTTGATACAGGGTACTTATTATAGTTTGGATTCCTAAAGCTTTTAGTCTACTATCCCATCATTCAACGGTGTTTTTCACTATAAGTAATGTTTTTTTTGTGGACGGAAACTATAACTTAATTTGTTTTACTATGTTCAATCTGAATTTACTTTCAAATTAAAACATTTATATTGATTCTGACGTTTCTTCATCCAACTCACAGGTGTAGCATTGCTTTGAGAAAATAAATTATTAATTTACCCCTTTTAGAAGTGGAGATATAGTCATTTGTTCTGGGCATGTCATTTTCGAGCCTGAAACCTGAAAAACAGGCTTGGGGCTTAACAAAATCCAATGGGTTTTTGCCATCTGATTTACGAATATAACGCAAAATAAGATAACACACATTTATGATACTTAAACGTTTTGTTCAGAAGCATAGTCTTTACATATTGACAACACTTTTTGATTTTGAAGCGTAACTGCAAATGCAAGAATTAAAGCCGACGTTAGGCTATAAGCGAAGTATATCAGTCTCGCATAACTTCACATCAGCAACCTTAAGCTAAAAGCGGCTAATGTTCAGCGTGATGATAGTAGTATAGTTGACTAATTTTGTCACTTTTTCGCAACTGTCTTTTTATGTTTTTATGCCATATAAAGCTTTGGACATTTACAAGTGGGGTATTTTATCTTTTAGGTCCAATAACAAAATAAAATGTACCTTTAGCTTGTGTTAACCACAGACCTTATTTCAGGCAGGTACACAAGAACAAGTTAAAAAAAACTTATAGATTTAGGGAACAGGAAGTTGTTAAATGCCAAGTAATTGTACGTTTTTCATTCCTGCACCACTCTGTGTGCTCTGTGTGAAGGAGTTCCCTCATACCTCTGCTGAAATGATGGAGAATTACCAACTCTTGAGCTCTGGGACTTCTTTAGCCTTTTTAGCTTTTTTCTTTAGTTTTACCTCACATTTCCAGAAGGATTTTTTTCAACTAACACGCTTTGATAACTAACTAACACGCTTTGATAAACAGAGTATGCCACCAAATTTACCAAATAAACTCTATACAAAGATGAAATGAATGCATATGGGCAGGTTTCTCCCATTTTCCCCGTTAAACTGTGGGGTTTCTTTGGAAGTGTTTCCTTGTATGATGTGAGGGTCTAAGGACAGAGGGTGTCGTATTGTCACTGATATTCTGTACAAACTGTGAAGTCCACTGAGACAAATGTAACATTTGTGATATTGGGCTATAAATAAACATTGATTGATTGATTTATTGATGGCACAAAATAAAGTAAAACAGCTTAAAAAACTTCATTAAAGATGTTATTTTTTTCTCTAACCAACATACCCGGGCCTTTCTTGCAGGTGAACGGCAGGCGGTAGTTGCACGGCACGTCATTCCACTGGCCGTTCTGATGCCAGATCATCACCACACAGTCTTCTCCTGAGTTGAAGTAATTATCAGGTTGGTTCAGCTTCCAATTCTCGTATTGCTTAAGAAGAGAAGGAAACCATTACTACAAGTTGAACTCGGACACAGAGAATAGGTAAGAAGGACCACAACGTTTAATTTGAAAAAATATTCTGTACTGTACTCTGTACGTAAGCAGGATATGATCTTGTTTTTCATTGTTCTCTCACGTTCCACATGTCCAATCTACTTCAACGCCTTTAGAGAGAAAATGTCCCAAATATGTGCATGACTTTCCCTTCTTCCCTATTGTTGCATCTCTCTCCTTCTCCATGATCCTCTATCCTTAAGGCGCAGTAACACTGTGTGCTACAACGCATCATCTATAATTCATTTCGATGAGGAAACAGGTGTTCTGATACAGAGGGCTACAGCAAAAAAATACAAGGTTGCCAGCAGCAAAGGAAAACCTGGCTCATGGTGATACAAACAGTTTGTAGATCATCCCACTGGTCCTGAAGCAACAGGCTTCCACCATCACAGCAACATTTTTTAATAACAGTGCCGAGTTATATCCGAACACATTAGTAATTAGTTTTTGTGCTTGCACTGGTTTGGTAATTTTGTGCCTTCAGATAAACCTTGAGGTGAGGTGGGTGGAGTGGTGCAGCTGTTGTTTCTATTTCAGACCTGATGATGAAGTGTGTGAATTTGCATTAAAATGCTCAGAAATGTTATCACAAGTGCTTTGTTCATTTTAAACGCACGTCTCTAATAAACTAATACACAGTCAAATGCAAGTCAATATAGAAGCAAACAGAAATTCAAATGTAGACTCTAAGGTTGGATTAATGCATAAATAATAATACGTATATAAGGAATATGATTTAATTAACAAGAAAGTAAAGCAAATTAAAAATAATTACTGGATAATTTAACATATTTAAGTCATTGAAGCAGAGACATATTATTAAGAACAATGGGCCCTTTGTGAAAGAAATGTAGACAAGAGGCTCAGGCTGAAACATTACTATGAACCACCATTTTCAAGATGTTAAAGATACACAAAATGTTGTTAGCTTGTCTTTCTTGGTTGTTTTGCATGTTTGTTGTTTTACTTCTTATTGTAGTTGTTTTGCTTGTCTGTAGTTGTTTTGCATCCATTTATGGTCATGTTACGTCTCTTTTTAGCTGTTTTGATTGAATTTCCTACCAAAGTAGAGTCATGTAGAGTAGAGGTCACAAGTAGACTTTCATTTAAGGGGTTAAACACCAAACTATACTATATTTGGCTCTGACTATATCTAGTCCTCACTCACCAGTGGAGTGCCATCCGTCCAGCGGAAGTCATTCACTACGGTCTTGTCATTCAGCCCGATCCACTGGTAGTCCTGTCCGTTTGCTGCGGGAGAAAAAAGTATATTGAGATCTTGGTTTTAAATTGTCTACATCTCTGTGAACACAAACAAACCACAGCACATTGTGCACTCACAGTTGACAAAGTCCTGCTCCTCTGGGGTGATGATGCTGGCCAGGTGGGCGTTCATGTCCCTGCACTGCTGCTCTGCATCCAGCCATAACTTTCTGTCAGAGAAGTGTCGGTAGCAGTTCCCCTGAAACTTAGTCCAACGGTCTTCACACTGCTGCTCATCTGCAGCCGCAAGAGTCATCATTCATTTAATGTATGGCATATTCATTTCAATATTCAGTATAGTTTAGTACATGTTTTCAATTTGTAGGCCGCCGAGACTAACATCCACAAATGGGTTTTAAAACTAAAGCACAGCATCAGATGATGAGAAGCTCTTATGTATTCTTATCATTATTTCTGCTATCTAAGCGGTATTAGTATTGGAGCAGCTGATGAAGTGCTTGATATTTTTCATAACCCATGTAGTGTTTCAATTATACATATTCAGAAATTGTGTTCAGTGAGAAGCATATTTTCCCATTATGATGTCCTCAGTTTCTTTTGGCTTCCAGTGCAAGTCTGACGATGGGCAGCGTTTTCCATTCTGACAGAACAAACGTCTCAATGCAGAATGGAAACTTATTCATAAGCGGAGCCCTGCCCAACAGTAAAGCAGGAGTGAGTTTTTATTATTACATTAGCATTCAAAGGCTTCATTCATTCTCTTGCCGTAATTACTTAAAGGATCAGTTCAACCAAATTACAAGATATATTTCCACCTTTTGTCCGAACACCTTGACAGCAGTTTTGATAGGGAGTATTTTATATCAAATAAATTATCCCTGTTACAGTTTTACAGCATGTATAATGTTTTATGGTGGGTAGGACATTCTTTAATAAAATACATCATGCAGTTGGGTTTTAAAAAGTAATTGTCTCTCTTCATTCAAACTTGGTAATTTTTCGACATTTCTTTTGATAATGAAGGCAGATCTGCATCTCAAAATGTCATTATTTAAAGATGTCATGCTTGTCTGTTACAGTGGACTCTGGGACTATTTTAGATTTAATGGATAAACCTCGCTGCGGGGAAACGGTGGACCTAGTGGCCCGATCGGAGTGGGCCAAGTGGTACATTCCTCCCGAACGTCCCGATGGCCATTCCGCCACTGGATGTAATGCTTGGATACTACTGTAGACGTTAGCACTAGTTAGCCAGACATGCTATCGTTAGCCTCTTTCTTTCGACAAACAATCAATTTTTTAAACCTGATTTTTTAATTTTTTTAAATGAATTAACACTACAATCCATTTCAAGTTTAGCTCTTACTAGAACCACATGTTTATATTTTTTGCAAATTGACATGATGACAAACTTGACAGACCTGCCATTCCTTTAAAGGTGTGTAGCTACTGCATGACAATCAAGAAAATGGTTTCCCAAAGACTCAATTGTTCAGTAACTAATACTGCATTAGTAGACGCTTCTCAGGTTTTTTGTGATTTGGATGAACCAACCCTTTAGTTTCTTTTATAGCTTTTTGCCCTTTAGAAAACACTGTCTCCTGGCAAATTTAGGACATTGCAGCAGGTTGGCATCTTCGACTTCTGGACACCAGGACTCCTCATAGAGCCCCAGCCAGTAATGATGCTGGTGATGATTAGTATCTCTCTTTCTTCAGTTGTTTTTGAGGGGCTGTTGTTAGTTTAGTTATAAGCAGAAGCGGATCTCATACCGATCTCACATCTTTCCCCTCCGTAGCTTGGCAGGCATAAGCATTTGTAAGATTCTGCACTCTCCACACAGGTGGCTCCATTGGCACAAGGGTTGGGATGGCACACATCTACCTCTGCAAAAAAGGGGGCGGGTGAAACTACTGTTTAAGCGTAGGGTGGGGATGGGAAGTTGCCCAGCAAGGTAAGGGAGTAAAAGCAGTGATAAAAGGAATATCACACCTCAGGACTGACAAGTTATTGAACAATACTGTAGGCAGCTGCAACCTCTGATGCAAACTACTTACTGCAAACAAAATTATAATCCATGTTCCTCTGTTTTTGATAAATCCTATTTTCAGGTTACCAAATGATGAAACATGCTGAAATATATCCCAAATATGTTTTTATCTCTTCCAAGAGAATACATTATAATTATTATATCTGCAGTAAGTTTATGTTTGAATCTGTAGTTAGTTGCAGCAGAAGTATAGTATTCAAATTCCAACAGGATGAGATCACCCATATGGTGCCAGAAAGCACATATGTTGCCCCGGGTTTAGCATGCATACAGCAGAGTGGAGGCGGCGCACTGGCACAGCAAACCAAAAACAACATAGAGGCTGAAGACTGTGATTACAACGAGTGAAACAGAGGCTGTACAACCTCAGATGCAGAGCTGATGAACATTTGACAAGGACCCAAACATTCAAACTGCCACACAAACACAGAGACACATAGCACGACACAGACACAATATACAAACAAGAAATCAAAGAAACACAAAACATTAAAGTAAAAATGTGATGCAATACATAAGAACAGAACAGCAGGGAGGGAAAGAAAATATTTAGTTGAGTCTAGTAATACATATACAGTCAACATAATCCCACCAGTTGAATATATCTGAAAGTATTGATTAATAAACAGAATGCAGACCAATAATATAAGACATGCAAAGTTCTGAACAACATACATGTAGATACAGAGAAATGCAACTGGAAAAGTATTTTAAAACCTAACATCATCTTGTATTTTTCAAAGAAAGAAAGGAGAAGAGAAGAAAATTGCAGTCGCAAACATTGTGGGACTTACCATGGCAGACAGCAACCCTATCCTCTACTATGCATAAAGAAGCACCACAGGGGTTGGGTTCACATGGGTTAAAACCTAGAAAACAGGTCCATTTATTTAATGACATGTGCTTCTTTCAAAAGAAAGATGCATTAGTGTTTCATCAGATCTGATGTAGCAGTTGCCCTCAATTTTGCATATGCCGCAGCATTAGCGATTTAAATGCACCCTCACTCTAATGTTCATTCAAATCCATTTTATTATAAATTAGTTTCTGTTTATTTCTACGCTCTAGGATGCTCTTACGCTCTAGGATGCTCTTACGCTCTAGGATGCATATACTTAACAGGCATATTGCAATAGGGCTGTCATTTACAAAAAAATTATTCACAAGATACAATATGTTTGTGTTTTAATTCAGTACTGTACGTTTTCATTTTATTGGTGTGTTGATGAGATGAGATCTCAAATTTGCCAAAAACAGAACACTGAACATAAAATGACGAGTCAACCTGTAATTGATCAGATGTCCATCTTGTTAAAGCTAATGAAGTTATATTGCCCTTGCACGGTACTAAGAAGTCTAAACAGACATTGTAGATTTCTGTAAAAGCAGGTTTAAAACCTCCAGCCCAATGCTCAAAGGGCTGTAACGTACGCTATATTGTGATAATTGAACATTGGGCTGTCAATGGGTGACTGTCCATTGGACAGAAAGCCTTTTAGTCAAACAGACATTATCCAAAAAAAAAACACAACCCATAATAATCATTCCGAAAGGGCCATTAAAGCCTAGCTACATATACTCTGTCCCTCCATTTCCCAGAATGACACTGTTGAAAACTGTTGACCTACCCTCCAGTGAATCAGTTCCTTTCACAAAGCCTGGTGTCTGCACAGAGGTTGGTGAAGTTGCGGTAGGAGGGGCAGCCAGTCCTGCGGGGGCGAGTACAGAGTATGGAGTTCCATAGACGTCAACAGGGATCTGAGTTGGTTCCACCAGACCATGGACTTCCTCTGGCCCCATGGTGCTCTCAGTCAGTGCCCAGTTACTGGATGGTGAGGGTGGCATCACCGTCGGCAGATCCCCAGAGGAAGATCCTGAAGAAGAGCCACTGGCTGTGGATAAGTGGTTGTCTCCAGTGCCAGAGGACAAACCACTGCTGCTACTGCTTCCTTCTCCACTGTACTCCACTGATCCGTCTCCAAGCTCCATAGACAGTGTAGTGTCTCCGGATACCTCTGACGTAAAATCCCCACTTAAAAATGTAACACTGCTTTCTTCTCCGCTCGTTGAGGACTCAGATCCAGACATTCCCGATCCAGAACCCGAGATAAGACTTGAGCTTCCAAATCCAGACAAATGTCCACCACTTCCCTGTCCAGAGCTGTACACTAATAAACCAGAGGCTTCCTGCTCTCCAGAGGATGACACTGTTAGGTCGGTGAACCCTGACCCAATAAAGGTCACGCCTGAGGAGAAGAACCCAGAGCCACTTCCAGAGGCCGAGCCACTGAGATCCCCACTGATAATCCCAGACCCTGAGATGTCTCCAGAGCCACTGAATGCCAGTAGGCCTCCACCAAGCTCATACTCCTTGTTGGTAGTAGAGATAGACGCATCGATAAATTGTCCATCTATTAGTAAGATCTGTGAGTCTCCACTTCCCGAAAGCTCTCCCAAGTGTCCACTAGCACTTCCTGAAGAGAATCCCGATGGGAAACCACTAAACCCAGAAAAGTCCTGGCGTGTGATGAAACCGGAGAACATGCCAGAAAACTGTCCACTTTCCCCCGAGCTGTCTATGGATGAGTCACTCTCCGTAGAGCTAAAACCAGATTCAGACAAATCCCCGCTACCACTGAGCATTCCAGACCCTGATTCAGATGAAGGGAATATAAAGATCCCTCTGCTTCCTTCTCCAGCTTCTTGGAGTCCTCCTGAAGCTGAGCCCTCTCCAGATACAATGCTGTCCATTCCCGAAAAAACTACAGTGATGCCGGATCCTTCACCACTGAGAGCTGACCCAGAAGCATCTGCACTGTTGAAACCTGATGCCCCACTTGGCAGCTTGGCACTGCCAGATAGTTGTCCAGAACCGGATAGGTCTCCAGAACTGGATATGTCTCCAGAACTGGATAGGTTTCCAGAACCGGATAGGTCCCCAGAAACAGATAGGTTTCCAGAACCGGATAGGTCTTCTGAACCGGATAGGTCTCCAGAAACAGATAGGTCTCCAGAACCGGATAGGTTTCCAGAACCGGATAGGTCTCCAGAACCGGATAGGTTTCCAGAGCCGGATAGGTCTTCAGAACCAGATAGGTCTCCAGAACCGGATAGGTCTCCAGAACCGGATAGATTTCCAGAGCCGGATAGGTCTTCAGAACCGGATAGGTCTCCAGAAACAGATAGGTCTCCAGAACTGGATAGGTCTCCAGAAACGGATAGGTCTCCAGACCCAGACAAATGACCAGATCCAGATAAGTGTCCAGAACCAGAAAGGTCTCCAGAACCAGACAAACGTCCAAAGCCAGAAAATGCTCCAGAACCAGACGATTCTCCAGAGGTAACATGATCACCGGAACCAGACAGGTCACCAGATCCAAACAGATCTCCTGAGTGACCACCAGAGGCACCATTAACGGCAGACCCCGAGCCAAATTCTGCAGAGCCGGAGCCAGAGCCCGAAGTCTCCACAGGAATAGGAGCAACAATGGAAGGAACAGCTAAAATGGTATAGAAAGAACAAGTTAGGTCCATTGGAAATAAAGACATTTGAAAGTTATTTGTTATTTTAAATTATGGCTTACCAGGTTTCAACAAATCAGTAATTGATGTTAGGTTAAGGAGGGCTGCTTTGATATCTGTGATGTTAAGTCCAGTTTCATTTGCAATCAGTAGAAAATCCGCTGTAAGAATTAAACAAAAAGATAATGCTCAATGAGTGATGAGGAAAATGACAATCCAGAATGAGCTTGTTTGATAACAGTCAAGTGTTTACCTCTAAAGCAGTATGCATCAAATCTGGCATCAAGTTCAGGGGAGCCTATCTGGTCGGGGTGACCGTGAACAGTGTGTATTCCTGGTTTCCCACCCCCACACCCATTACGGGGTTTGTTGATTGGATAACGAACGCTGCGATCCACTAGCCAGCCAGCCTTGTCAAAACCCATTTTCCAGGCTGCGTACAGCTCTCCAGGGGAGGCTAGTACTGCGTTCTGCTCTTGACAGCTAGAAGAAGCTTCATCATAGGTGAGACCCTCAGCGGAACCCACATGGAAAACCTCCCCTGTGGAGCAGGAATGTCAATATGGTGAACAAGATAGAAAACAAATAAGTCTCTGGGCTTTGCGATAAGTTTTCTTACCCTTGATACCATCAATGTAACAGTACACATCATATCTCTCGTCTCCTGGCCTTAAACCATATGACCGAACTCCAGGTAGTTCCCCTAGATCTCCATCACACTTTTCTCGAGGGAAAACAATGGGATACCTAAAAAAACAAAACAATTGGTGAATTTTTTATTGGGACAAGAATCTCTCTACCTGCTCTGAAAATACATTTTGTTTTTACCTTACAGTCTGGTCCAGTAACCATCCAGCATCACACTGGTGATATCCAGCCTTGTATGCTGCCTGCAGCTGCTTTGGGGTGGCTATGGAGGCTCCAACACTTTGGCAGGCCAGCTGGGCCTCGACGAAGGTGAAAGCATAGCGGCTGGAGCCTGAACGATAATGGAACACCACACCTGCACCGAAAAACAAGGGACATCCTCATAAGGGACACCAAATGGACTTTCTATATGATGCTACAGTCGTCCAACCATGCATTAACAGTTATATCACTGACCAGTAGGAGGCATCACAAAGCCTTTTCCGGGTTCCCTACGTGTGTCGGGTCGGGCGGTGGCCGGCTCTATCAGGTCAACCACCAACTCAGTGACGTTTGGTGGCTGAGGTAGCGGCAGCTGGATAGGGCTCTCTGTGAAGTCCACTTGGGTAGGCTGCTGAGTCTCCACCTCTCCAACCGCCTCACTCTCTGTGGTTGTCCTCCTGAAGAACACCTCTGGGCTCAGTGTCACCGTAGTAACACTCAGCAAACCACTTCCTTCTTCTATGATGCCTGAACCTTCCTCATCAGTGGACTCTGAAGGTGATAGAGAAGGGAGTAGTAAGACATCTTTGCTGTGGATGTCGCTATGTTTGGTCATAAGTTGTGTTTTTTTCCATGGTTATCTAATTATCTCTTAAAGGGTCAAGTCTCTTTAATTAATAAAAAGTTCACCAGCTTTCTCCGCCAACCTAAAACTGTTTATGCTTAACTTTAATAAGCGGGAATTAAGTCTGCCTGCAGACTCCTTGTTACTGCTGAGAGTTCATTCAAAGAGCACAGTTTTGTTTTTTTGTTAATCGGAAAGTATAACCTTTTACTATCAAAGTTCAATCTCTAGGCATGAGGATATTTAAGTAGATTACGTATAACTGATATTGAGCAGAACAGTGCTCTTGGTGTCATTCTTTCTTAAGATGATAGCTTACCTGTATAGCAGAACGCATCGTAGCGAGACTCGGGAAGTGGGTATCCTGTCTGGTTGGTGTAGAGGTGCACAGTTCGCACCCCCAACAGACCCCCTCCACACTGCGGCCGACGGATGTTAATAGGGTAGCGGACGCTCCTGTCTGCCAGCCAGCCGGCATTACAGACATCCATCCCACCCTGCCAGGCCAGGTACAGCTGACCAGTAGTGGCCAACTGAGCTCCCTGACTGGAGCATGCAAACTCAGCCTCAGAGAAGTTGAACTTTTCTGCGGCAGCAGTGTAGAAAACTCTCCCTGTGTGTGATAAGAGAGGTCAATAACAGTCGAATAGGAGTTTAAATTACCCAAACCTGCAAATGCACAGAATCAATTACAATCAGCAAAATAGCAGTGTTCATCGCAGCATACCTGTCATCTTCTCAGTGAAGCAGTAGACATCATAAGTCTTATTGAGGTCTCTCACTCCGTATGTCCTGACCCCAGGCAGCTCCTCTTTGTCGCCATAGCAGTTCACACGAGGATCTCGGATCGGGTACCTTTAATTAAATGGAGATACGTTTTGTATGGTTGGGGTCTTAGAGAACCAGGGCAGAACAGGTGCCTCATAGATGGTTTGATAAACCAACCTGGCGGTCTGGTCGGAGAGCCAGCCAGCGTCACACTGGTGGAAGCCATCATCGTAGGCTGCTTGAAGCTGTTCAGGTGAAGCCATGACCGCACTGTTCTGCATGCAAACTGCCTTAGCCTTTTCAAAAGTTAAACTGTAGCGGCCAATGATGGCTCGGTAGTGGAACACCATACCTAGAGAGTAAAAATAGGACTTGATTTTAGCCAAACATTAAATACTTGATGATCGATACAACAAAACTTGACATAATGCAGAAATCCTTCGAAAAGCTGAACAACCCCCCATCACTTGAAGGAGTAATGGCAACACAGTTTTCACCGCCACTTGAGAAGATGTGTTTACTTGTCCTCTAGATGTGGTCTCTTCGCAGTGAGTAATGACACTTTATAGATCACATCTACAAATATTTGGCAACCAATCGGAGGAAAACATTTTTTGATGGATAATAGGATTTCTTTCCTCTGGCTGCTTATTTTCATACCTTGAACCTGCACATGGACGATGTCGTGGTTGTCCTCGATGCCATGCTGAACCTCACAGCGGTAGACTCCTGTGTCACTGGTCCGCAGCTCAGATATCTTGATGCTAGCATCTGTAGAAGTCATGGGGTAGCCCACCAGATGAACTCTGTCCAGGTAGCTCTCACTGATAAGCACCTGTCCTTCCAAGGCCACTAAGATAGTCGTGACTTTTTCTTTAGTGACGTGGCTCCATTTGATTCGATGAGCGAGCGGAGCGATGGAGGGAGCTCCTGGGTCTGGGACAGTGTGGTCCTAACGTGAAAAAACAAAAACCCTATTCACCGCCAATTTCAGTCCATTCTCAGTACACGAGTATAACCTCTCTTACTTATTGCAAACAAGCTAATCCAAGAACATTTGACATATTTACACATCGAGCAGACAACATTGGCTTTGAATTTCGAGTTGTGTTCTTGTTGATTTTTTGAATTGAAGTCTATTCTTCTTTCTACTCTGGTTTTGGTTTACACCAACTCCTGAGAAATGTCTGTGCTGTAGAGTTAAAAAGACCCTATTAAACATTTTGGGGTTTTCCCTCTCCTAGGTATTTGTGTATGAAAATGTTGTGCATAGGCTAATATCCCAAAGTCCCCTCTGGAGGGAGTTTCTATCCCGCCCCAGGGATCATTAGGGCAATAAGTAACCCCGTTTACATGTCATGTCCTAATTTGATTAGGTGTTTCCAAGAAAATATCCTTTATATTGTGCAGTGAATATTTAGATTGTGTGAATGGTGGCTTTGTTCACAATCTGAGAAACCAAACCAAAAGTGGAAACCAAACCATACTGGTTAGATTACACACCTCAAAGTAACACGGTAGCACCAACGTTGCTCCCAGTAGAGGACGCTGTGGCTCCTCCAGAGGAATGCTCACGCTCAGCACATCCTCTGGGTCTGTGGAAGAGATCAGAAAGACTTTCTGGTGAATGCACTCCAAAAGTTAGACATGGTAGTATCATCAGCATTGATGAGAAGATGACAGTACACTGAATTTAAAATAGGACGTTTCTACCACAATTTATCCTTTGCAAGAAAACTCTTATAAATGAATGAAATTATTAGATGCCCTTTATGAATATGCGTTCTTACCCATAAATGAGTGCTCTTCATAAATGTAATCAAATGATGCCGAGATGACATGCAGACTCACAGACAGCATCACAATCCACCTTATCATATTTTATCTGGAAAGAAAATAATGGAAATTAGCAGAAATCCAAGTTAATTATATTATATATTATTATTAGTAGATTATCAGGTAGTATTGTGACATATAGAATCAATCATAGCGATGTCATCTAAAATATCATAATTTTCTACAGGCTTAGATTTAAGTTAAATTTGGCTTGTCTCAGAGGTCTGATTTCAGAATCAAATCCAAAATCAATCACTTGGTGAAGCAGAATTAAACAATGAAATATCCAGAAGTGCAAACCAAAATCTCTTTCTACACACTGAACACATGGAAGCTCTATATAAAGTTACATCTCTTCATTGGAAAAACATGATGCTGAGTACACCAGTGTTCCTGCAGTTATACTGGCATGAATGTCTGCTCTGTCCTGGTCCTGACAACATTCTTCCTCACTGGGATTAGGACTGGGATCATAACACTCAAATTAGTCATTTTTCCTAAAGTCTGTCTTGTTTGAAGTCAACCCTTCCACCTTTAGAGTCCCAAACAGACATGAATACAGTTTTCCTCCACACAGCTTCACAGCAACAACATTTCTCAAGGGAAAGACTCAACCACACATCTCTGCGATGCGATTACAACACTCGCTAACAAACAACGCTCTGATTTTCTCACAGGAAAACAAGGAGCTCCAGTTCTTTCAAAATAAAATGTTTTGCTGTTATTCCATCAGAGTAACCCTTCCTGCTCCTCCCTCCTTCTACAGTGAAACACTTTTTCCAAATCCAATTTGTTTATTTTTTCATATCCACACACGTCACAGGGGAACAAATGATCACATATTATAAAATATGCTACAAACATCTTGATATTTTAGTCTCGGCACAAGCATTTGCTAAATCTGATCAACCTGAAAACATTTGCTAAATTATACATTAATATGTACTGTTTGTGTGGCATTAACCATGATTGAATAACATATTTGATTGCTCTTATGCATTGTAACTTATTTTTTACTCTAGTTGAAATTCTCCTTGAATTATTTATTTACTTTTTGCCTTTTGCTATCTTTACTTGTGCTTTTTTAGGCACCGGAAAAAAGGTCTTACATGATGATTCATGTTTTACATGAGAACACAATTTTCTTTAAAAGTTAAACCATTACGGAGACATTTCTGTTTTTATGGGCTCATTTACCATCTAGCAAGATTCAAATCTAAACATGATGACAGTTTCTGGTTGTTTTCATCTAATTTGATTGAAACAGTATCCACACAGTCCTGATGAAGCAGATCAGATTGGTATTTGAGTTTGTGAAAAGTAACTCAACATTTATATGTTTATATTTACTGTTTCAATATATACTGCTCCCAATCTGTAGAGTTCATTTCAAAAGTACTTCGTTTTGTAAGTGCTCAAATGCAATTTTATTTTAATTTTTTTAAAGATTACGCACATATTCAAACCATAACTCAGTGTTATATTGCTAATTATCTTGTTATATACCTTTTAGGAGGGTTTTTTCCACACTTTAACTTCGAATGCTCATTTATAAGTAAATATTGAATGTTCCAAACAAAAATTCCAAAACAGCCCAAAACAAATACAGAAATCTCAATTGCGAAAAAACAAAACTGTTCTATCTTTGGAAGAAAATGTAAACTAGTAAGCAATTAGAGCAAGAAAACATATTTTCCCAGGATGGAGTTCTTCCTCTTTAACTGCATGTGAGATAACACTACTGCAATGTTATCTCTGATAGTAAAGACAGCAGATGAAGGAATATAAAACTAAAGATAAAATGACACTCACTCTTAGACAGTCTTATAATAGTTCTTGTAAACTCTACTGAGCTGCAGAGATCCAACACACTTTCTAAAACCTGAAAAGACTGTCACAAATATATCCTGGAGGAAAAAAACCCCCTCCCTTTATTCTACTTTTGATGTTAAGATGAAAGTTAGCTTTATTTGCAAATAATGTTAGTTTTGTTGTCTGTTTGGTTTTGTCCATGTTTGGATTTTGCCCAATGGAACTAAATCTGAATTGACAGTGAATTTGACTTGAACATGAAGTGGTTATACTGTATATACCAATACAAATATGTGATTTCCTGTACAACAGTTGTTCAATAAGAAGAAAATAAATGTTAATTGGTGAAATAAACTGGAAGCTTAACATAAAATGTGTTCAGATATACATAGCTTCATGTTTTAACTAGGGCCGGGACTCGATTAAAAAAATTAATCTAATTAATTAGAGGTTTTGTAATTAATTAATCGAAATTAATCGCATTTTTAATCACATATAAATATTTGACCTGAGAACAGTGAGAAGATGTCAATAAAGTGTGCCGTCACACAGAGGTAATTTGAATTGCTTACCGAGGTCCAATGATCCCCAGTCAGGGCAACACACTCGGCTTTCTCCAATAAATTCTCTTTATCTTCCTTTTCATTGTCATAAAGCTGCTGGATTCTTTTTGTCACTGTCTTTCTGCATGGCAGCTCNCCACTGCCCTTAAAGAAATTTATCAGCCAGAAACAACGGAGAGGAAGGCTACTTTGCGAACAGCTTTAAAAGCCTTACGAAGCCAAAGTAAACCGTATTTTTCTGAATGTTTCGCATTAGGACCTGATTTCGCTTAAAGGCTGGTATTATTCTGTTGATTTTCTGCAATGCTGTTAGTTTCCTCAGTTATCGCCTATAGGCTACAGTATGTTCCTTTAATAAAGCTTTGATTAATTCAATTAATCATTTTGTTTCATACATTTTCGTAACAATTAAGGGCTGGTGTGTTTATGTTATTCCTATATCTGTGTATGTTATAGCCTAGGCGCTATTAGCGCCCTACGTGTCGGTTCCGTAAACAACTACGAATCTTAATTGTTACGAAAATGCTATGAAAACAAAATGAAATAGATGAATAATCAAGATTGTATTGTAAAAAGCGAAATGACTAAGCTGTGAGTTTCAACCCCCCCCCGTATGCCCTCCCAGCAAAAATATCTCCGCCACCCCACCCCAGAAAATAGTTCCCGACGTCCCTGCCCACCCACCCAATTTGATATTTTGAAATAGAGCTCTAGGCCGATTTCTCGAGCGGCAAGTTATGGTGGTGCGTACCGTAAGTCCTATGTCCTACTCGAAGGAAATCTTCAGACAGCGTAACAGTCCAGGACATAGCGAATACCTGCCCGTATATCCTTTGCTCATAGGACCCGGGGCTGAGTACTTAAGACTTGAAGAGTGCTGCCGTGCATATAGCCAAGATAGTCCTTTTTGTTATACGTAATACTTGCAGAAACAAATACAACAAGAGCGTGTGCTTCTCTATCGCCGTACGCGTTCCATCCAGAAGAAGAACCTGCGTTTTTGTTAAAACAAAATTCCCATCCACTGGGCCACCAAAGCGTCTCATCAGCTTGGCTTCGTCATGATTTGACTATGTTCACTGTGGTTTGTTGTTGTCTGAAGTCATAAACGTAAATGGT